TTACACGCCACGCATGGTAATTGGTGCAATTCTTCTTCTTATAACATGTAGCTCCAAGAAGAAACAATCACCGTCAATTGGTTTCTTATGCTATTTCTTTTGTAATGTTATACCCACAGCTTCCTTATTAATCTTACTTTTCTTGTTCATTTTGTCCTTAGAGGTGGTGGCTATATGAAGACTTTCTGTCTTCTCATGCTTCAATCTTTCTCTTCCTAGACATAGTGTGAGATGAGCTCATTAGGGGACCATGAGTCCTTTTGACAGTTGTAGCTCACCTTGAATTGGCTTAAATGTGTCGGAAGGGATATCAGAACCAAGTGCACCAACAAGTCTTTAAATAAATCCAACTTGAGTGCCTTTAGTTTTGAAGCAATGTGAGACATTTTCATAATGTACTCCCGAATGTTTCCTTTCCCTTTATACCTCATTGAGATAAGGTTTGCCAAAAGTGTACTTGTTTCAGCCTTTTCATTCTTGGCAAATCTCTTCTCAAGATCCTTGAGGAAAGCCTTAGCCATAATCATCTTATCGGACATAATGCTCCAGAATGCTTCTAGAATATCACGCTTCATGACCATTAAGTTATGAGATTTGATCGTTCCCATTTTTTCATCTCCCTCTTGTTATCAGAGATACTCTTTTCAGTAAGTGCAGCAGGTTGATCGACCCGTAAAGTAAGGTCTAGGTCCATGATTTAGAGAAAAATTATCACATTCTCTTGCCATGCCCTGAAATTTGTGCCAATAAGCATTGGAATTGAATTGATGCTAATAGAGATATTAGCAGCAGAACTTGAAACTGAATTAGAGAATGATTATTACAAATAACTCACATGAATATTTTTAATATGTAAATAATAATAATCTAAAATAGTGGTAGGGCCCATCATAAGATACCTAGCACAACATCAATATCTAGTTTTTAAACATAAATATTAACATGTAAGTGGTACTCTTGGTGTAGTGACAAATATTGGCGATAAAACAATGTGTCAATCAATAAACCTTTCTTTGGACCGATTTATTGATCAGCCATTAAACCTTTCTTTTAATTAATTTTCACAAAAAAGGTTGCTTTGGCAACATGTTGTTTCAATTAACTAACTTTCAAACATTATATCTCTTAAAAGAGTCCTTACTACCAAAATTTGAAAAAGAGAATCACCAATTTTACATATTTTGTTTAGTTTTAAACTTTAGGGGCCTTAGGATTAATAATTCAAAACTTTAAGGGGGCAAAATTATTTAATTCCAAACTTCAGGGGTTGAAATTAATAAATTTGAAACTTTAGGGACCAAAATTAATCAATTCAAGACTTTAGAGGATCAATTAGAACAGATTTAAAACTTTGGGTGCCAATTTGAATTAATTATTAAAGTTTGAGGGCTTTAATTATAAAATACAGAACTTTAATGGCCCAGATTAATTAAATTTTAAAACTTAGGGTCTAAATTATTAAATCCAAAACTTAAAGGTCCAAATTGGATGTACTTTACAAGACAAGCCCCCGCCCCAAATCTCCAAAATACTGAAAATCGTAAAATTTTCTTTTCTTCTTCTCCTTCCTGGTGGCGGCACACTCTGAAGCCGCCTGGAGTAATGGCACTGGCATAAGCCGGTACCTTTGGCAGCGTCGCCCGTGCTACTACAGTACAGCAAAACGCCTGCTGCACCCAGCAGCGGGGCAGCAGCGTTATAGAGAACCACTAGTAAGGAAGATTAAATCACAAAGAAGGAGGCCATAAAGGCTATGTGAAGGATGAAGTAGAAAACGGGAGAGAAAAAGCCAAAGAATCGCCCAAGAGTGCTTTATCTATGGAGGTCGAAAGGGAGCCAAGAATATAAAAGTGTCAATTGGACAAAATAAGGTGAGTCCATTAGGTGACTATAATGGGTCATGAGGCCCAATTGATATCAAATGGGTCGAAAAATGGGTTTCCAAGATACTAGCCATCCAAGTAAGTGAAGAACCAGGCCATGAGCAACACAACTCAATTTGTTAGCTTTAAATGGCCCAATTTACTTTTTGGTCGGGTCATTTTAATTTAGCCATTGATATACTGTTCAGTCATTAAGTCAATGCCGACTAAAAAATTAAACCAAGTTTACATCATAATCTGAGAGGTCATTTGACAACAATTTGCCCAACAACCTCCACCTTGGTATCAAAGGACTTGCAAAGAAAAATGTCTCTTATTAGTGACTCCCCAAAATAAAAATCGATAAAATTGGAAATTATTGCTTATGGAAAGAAAACACATCTCTCATTAGTTTAGAAGATCATTGCAACTTCTAAATTTTAACAATGGCAACACCTTTGTGCCAATCTCAAAGGGTTATATTGTGTATGGACTTTTTCAAGTCTTACCACCTCTTGTAATATAATATCTCTAATGAAGTATAGTCTAATATCAATGTGCTTGGTGCGTTTATGAAAAATAGGGTTTTTGCATAGATTTATAGAAGACTGAAAATCGAAATGCACTACCACATAATCATTTAAGACACATAGTTCATGGAGCAAGCCTCAAAGCCTCATAGACTTTTTAATGGCTTCAGTGGTGGTAGTATGTTCTGACTCTATCGTAGATAATGCAACGATTTGTTGTAGTTGTGATTTCCAACTAACACAAGAGTTAGATAAAGTAAACACATAAGAGGAAGTCAATTTTCTACGATCCCTATCTCCTGCATAGTTCGCATTCTCAAAACCTTTCAATTTTACTCATTCTTTACTAGCACCAAACTTTAGACTTATATCACTAGTACCCTGTAAATATCTTAGCAACCACTTTAAGGCTTCCCAATGCTCAAGACCCGGATTAGACATGTACCTACTACGAGTACTAATAGCAAAAGCTAAATCCGGTCTAGTGCAAATTTTCAAATACATAATGGAACCAATCACATTAGAATATGGAATCCTACTCATGTATTGTACTTCATATTCATTACATGGAGCCTGATCTTTAGATAATATAAAATAATTAGCTAAAGGTAATAAAATAGGTTTGCAATCATTTGCATCAAATCTTTTCAACACCTCTAAAATATATAGAGAATGATACAAAAACAATGCATAATTTGACATATCTCTTTCAAATTTCATGCCTAAGATTCTGTTTGCTTTACCTAGGCTTTTCATGTCAAATTCACCATTCAACTTTTTTTTTATGATATTTATCCACATAAGTGATAAACCAATAAAAAGCATATCATCCACATAGAGCAATAAAAAAATACTTACTTCTTTGAAACCCTATAATGAGTACAAAAGAGTCAAATCTTTTGTACCACTGTCTAGATGACTTTTTAAGTCATATAAAGACCTTTTAATGAAATACACATGATCAGGTTTTAGTTTGTCTCTAAAACCTTTAGGTTGATTCATAAAGATTTGCTCATCAAGCTTACCATGTAAAAACGTAATTTTTACATCAAGTTGTTCAAGTTTCAAATCAAAATGTGCAACAAATGCAAGCATGGCCCTAATAATAGTTTACTTAACAACTGGTGCAAAAATCTCATTATAATCAACACCCCCTTCTTTGTGTAACTCTTAGCCACTAACCTAACTTTAAACCTTAAGAGTTCAGAAGTGTACTAGTACCGTCTTTAACTTTAAAGACCCATTTACAATCTGCAGTAGATTTACCCTTAGGTCAAGATATTAGCTTCCAAGGTTGATTCTTCTCTAAGGAACTTATCTCCTCTTTCATTGCCTTAAACCACTCTTCAAATTGTTCACTTTCATTGCCTCCTCAAAGGTTTTTGTTTTCCTATCAACTAGCTCCTCATAACTAGCGTGAGCAAAGCTTAGTTCAAATTCATATTTGGATCTCCTAGGCTTTCTTGTTTTTCTTTTCTCTCTATCCCTAACTAAATTATAGTTTGTTAAGGGATTTTCTTCCTCAGAATACTCCTCTATTACTACTCCATTCTCCATCTCAAGTTTCTAAACCCGTGTCTCCATGTCATTTGGAGTAGTAGGGACAAATGTGCTAAGTTATCCTATCTTCACCTCAAACCGGTCTCTATCTTCACCTTGTTCTGTTTCACTCACAGGTTCAAGTTCACTCTTAAGAAAAGGCATCTCTCCCTCGTTAAACATGACATCTTTACTTATAATGATCTTAACCCCCTTTTAGCCTTTATCTCGTAACCTTTAACCTTTAACACCCTCACGATACCCTAGAAAAACACATTTTCTAGCTCTAAGTTCAAACTTTCCCTCACTCTGATAGGAAAAGCAGTACGGCCTAATGTTCTAAGTACAGAATAATGATTAGTTTACCAGACCACATTTCATGAGGAATGTCACCATTCAAAGCAACAGATAGAGTCAAATTAATCAAATAACAAGCAGTCATAACAGCTTCACCTTAAAATGACTTTAGGACACACCAGAACTTAATATCATGCAGCGCACTTTGTCAAGTATAGTTCTATTCATCATTTCTGCTATCCTGTTTTGTTGGGGAGTGTAAGGTACAGTTTTATGCCTTATTATTCCATTTTCTTTGTACATATTGTCAAATTCAGTGTTACAAAACTCTAGACCATTATCTGTTCTCAAGAACTTAATCCTTTTACTAGTTTGATTTTCTATTTGTCTTTTCCAGTTATTAAAGTTGTGAAAAGTGACGGATTTATTCTGTAAAAGATAATCACACACCTTTCTCATGAAATCACCAATAATAGACAAGAAATACCTATTTTCACTCGAGATGGGTTTACTAGCAGGACCCCACAGATCTAAGTGCACACATTCAAGTATGTCTTTAGCTTTATGAACACTTGTAATGAAAGAAGTTCTACGTGCTTACCAAGTACAAAGTGATCACAAAATGACAAATTAGACACACAGTCATTACCATATACACCCTTTTCATTAAGAAGTTTGGGTCCCTTAATGCATAACTGAGCAAGCCTATTATGCTATATATGTGTGTGATCAACCTTGGTAGAAAAGTTAGAGGAGTTTAAACCTCTAATCACTAAATGTCATTTTTCTTTGTTCCTTTAATGGAGACTAATGCACCATTAATCATCTTTAATGTCCCATTTCCAATTTTATCAGTGAAGTCGTTCTTTTCAAGTCTTCCTACTAAAATTAAATTGCTAGATAGTTCAGGAATATATCTAACATCTTTCAAGGTGTACACAAAGCTAGTGTCAAACCTTATATTAATATCAACAATTTCAGCAATACTGTAGGCAAAATTATCACACGGCATAATATGCCCAGCATTAAATTCATGCAAATTTTCAAACCAATTCTTTTCAGATGTCATACGAAAAGATGCAACAGAATCAAGTATCCATTCATGCATACGGGAATTAGCAGTTAGATTCAAGTTAGAAGTATAAGCAATAGAACTCGTAATCATATAAACTTCACTGTCATCAACATCGGAAGTAGGAAACAACACGTTTACCTCATTTCTCTCTTTAACCTTTCGCTTACCAATTTCCTTATAACAATACTTTATAAAATGCAATGTGTTCCCACAGCCATAGCATTTTCTAAACTTCGTTTTAAACTTTGATCTAGACCTACCCTTGTACTTCTTTTTCCTTCCTTTACTATTTGACTTGCCACTACTTTGGTATCCATCATGATTATTTTACCTAAACAGAGTTCTACACTGCATCATGTGAATCTCACCATTTTTCTTATCATACTTTTCAGCACTAATTTCCATCTCCTTCTAAGGAATTCAATGACAATTTCAGGCGTCAAAGTGTCCCTGCCATACTTAATTGTATTTTTAACTTCCTTATATGTGTCGGGCATAGAATTAAGCAAAATTATAGCCTTGTACGTTCTAGACATTGTCTCTTCATAGTTAACAATATCTTGAACTAGTTTATTAAACACATTTAAATTGTCATCAAGATTCTTTGAAGGATCCATTTTAAAGTTGAAAAAATCTTAAAGTAAGAAAAGCTTATTTGGGGTAAATTTCAGCAAATACAAGTCTTCCAATTTTTTTCAAAGTTCTTTTATGATTTTCAATTTACCCACATTTCTTAAAACAGTGTCAGACAAGTGTAAGATGATTGAGGTATAACGAAGCTCATTAGCTTCTTCTTTTCTGTTCTTTTGAAAAGTCAGCAGGAAAATTACCTTCAATGACTTTTGAAATTTTTTGTTGAACCAAAATACCCTTCATTTTTGTTACTAGATTAAAAAATCACCTTTTCAAGTTAAAAATCCCCAAATCAAATTTGTAAGTGTTCATTTTTTACGAATCAATCAAAAAATGCACAGAATCATAGTCAAACCACACAAAGTTGTCTTAAGGTCACAGCTAATATACTCCGTTCAAGGTTCTCAGGGTTCCATAAAATTCATGTTCTTAGATCAAGGGAATTTTTGAACGGGTAAGGTCTCAGTATTCTAACAGAATTAACGAAGCAATGAAATTGACAATGAAATAAAATAGATATATCCAATCAAAAGATATTTCACTCACAATAACAGCAATTATATCCCAAAGAACAATAAGCTAATTTATCTCAAATAAGTACTTAATCGTAACAATTAAGAGTAAGTAATCCTAATTTCTAGTGTAAGTAATGTTACCCTTTCACGTTAACCTCAATCATATTTATCACACCATAACGCTCTAATACTGAAATTTAACAGAATAAGCCAATTTACCAATTCGTAAATTACAAGAGATAAAAATTTGTTACTTTTGGGCCACCACTACTAGCCCTAAAAATTCAGCAAATATATCAATGCAATTAGCCACAAATGCAAATTGATATCTAAGGGCAAAATCATTCAAGTATTCCTATGTAATTTGAAATACAAAACAAATAATATCAGTGCATTCGCGAGGTCAAAATAAACAAACTCCCCAAAAAAACTCTTCAAAAAATGCCACCACGCTTGCCACCATCAAAGGTACCTCCACCTGCTAGTTATGGGTCCGGCCTCCTTTCGTCCAACAGAGGTCTCGTTTGGCCAGAATTGAAGGATTTCATATTCTGGTGTAAGTTGAAAACCACATCTCCTTCACGATTTGAGCAGGGTTTTCTACCCTAAGACTCTGATATCAGATGTAGAGCCACAATATGATGACCACCAAGGTTTTACACAAACCCAAATCAATACCTCAATCCAAACGACCCAAAAACCACCTTGGCCTTCGCCTATGGCTGCTACGAGTTTACTCACTTAGAGAGCCACCACTAAGGAGGATTAAATTACAAAGGAGGAGGCCACAAAGGCTATGCGAAGGATGAAGTAGAAAACGGAAAAAGAAAGAGCCACAAAATTGCCCAAGAATGCACGGTCTATGGAGGCCGAAATGGAGCCAAGAATATAGGAGTATCAATTGGACAAAATAAGGTAAGTCCATTAGGTCACAATAATGGGTCATGGGCCCTATTGATATCAAATGGGCAAAAAATGGGTCTCCAAATTACTAGCCATCCAAGTAGGTGAAGAACCGGGCTATGAGCAACACAACTTAATTTGGTCGGTTCAAATGGCCTGATTAACTTTTTTGGGTCAGGGCGTTTTAATTTAGGCATTGATATACCGTTTAGTCATTAAATCAATGCTGATTGAAAAACTAAACCAGTTTAACATCATAGTTCGAGATGTCGTTTGACAACAATTTGCCCAACATGTTATAATAGAGTCAAGACTTTTAATAAGACAACATACGATAGCATTCCAAAAAATCTATATAATATGATAGATAGCATTCTTTGCGAGCTATACATGAATTGATATGTTGTACATCTACCTTTGAAACAATTGCAAGAATTTTTGGACTGTCAGTGCCCCTTTTTACTATAATTAAAATTTTCAAGAAAACAAGTTTCGCTATTTCTAACTAAAATAAGAGTAAAAGACTTTTTCAATTCAATAATTATATTGAACTTATTGTATATACAGCAGCTGGTAATGCAATTCAACTGCTAAAAGACGATAATACTGCAACAAAACTATATTTTTTCATTTTTATTAATTTTGATTTTAATTGAAGTGCCATTTGATTCAAGTTGCCCTCCCTTAACTGATTCCAAAATTTGTCCCACCAACAAATATCTAATAAAAGTTCTTATCTATTTTGGTTTTGTTTAGTAGGGCGATTTGATAATTTTTCTTATCTCTTTTGGTTTTGTTTAGTAGGGCAATTTGATAATTTATCGTAAATTATCTTACTACATGCTCTTTGTGGTTCACACATATATGATATAGTTGTCGGTTTTCTTTTTTCTTTTTTCACGTACATATTAAAGCACATAAACTTGTAATACAAGCTAAAAGTCGTGTTAGTATTAGATCCTGGAAAAATTATTTCAGAGAAAAAAAAATCATATACTAAATTATGATTTTAAATAAACGGATCTCATGGTCAAAATTAATTTACAATCTTTGCTTTGGTCTTAACGTTGGCATTTAATTGGCTAAAGTTTGCCTCCAACTCACACATATTTTATGACGCTACTCATACCATTACGATGACAAAAATTTCATATGGACACGAAAACACTATAAAAAATTGTCTTTCACGCAAATACGATTTTTATATTGGATCTATTTGATAGGACTTTTGGAAGATGAGATTAGGTCCAATACAATCTAAAATCAAGAGAACAAATTAATATCATTAATTATAATTAATCTTTTATTAACAATACATTTTACATGGATTTTTAATTTAAAGTTTTTGCCACTTTTCGTTTCAAGTGCGTCAAACCTTGTGTAAGATAAGTATTATCTTACTTGTATAGGAATGAAATATGATCTAAAGTGTAACGACCTGCGTCTTTTTATCCAAATCATTAGTTTACACACTGTCCGCTTTGGGTGGGCCTTGCGCTCACTTACCCCTCACGGCTTTCTGTCCCATCCCTCAAGATTCGAACTCAAAACCTTCCCCGTAAGACTTAAGTTGAACTCTTGCTTTGCTTGTGATTTGCAAAGCACAAAAGCAAGGAGGTCAGTAACAACATGTTAAGCCATTGAACTTTCATATGCCTTGCAGTTAAATTCTATATAGATTAATGTTAAATTTTTATATAAGTGACATGATATGTCATTTTCTGTTTCAATGCTATAATTTTTTATTTCGAAAGTAAAAATAAAGTACAGAAGTTTCTAATATGTATTCTATTATATAATAGCAAAAAGAAAAAAAAAAGAAAATCCAAAATAAGAATTCAAACACTCCAATTTCATAAATCTTGCAACTTTCTTTGCCTTTGATTCTTGTTCTTCACAGTAATAACTAAAATCATTTCACTTCCTATTCAAATTTTGATTTCTTCAACTTTTATATTGTTATCTTGTTCCTATTTGTCTCATAACAGATAAAGACATTAATTTTATCTATATCTGTAAAAAAATAAAAAATAATAATAATAATAATAATAATAACTCAAATTAGATAGTGTGCAACTTTCTTAAAAAAATTCCATAGTGTGTCACTTTCAAATTTCAACTCCTTAATTCATTCGTAAGAGAAATAATATATTACATCATGTCATTTTTTAATGTAAAGCAATGTTTGAATTTATGTTCATATTTAAGTTTCCACAAACATATTCTTGTATATATATCTCTTTAGCTGGTCCAAAAAGAATTCAAATTAGATAATGTGCAACTTTCTTTAAAAAAAGTTGTTGAGTATGTCACTTTTTAATGCATAGTCTTAATTTATATTTATTGCAAACACTGTTTCATCACTCTAATTGTTTCGAAATTGAATTTTCATATATGCTAACTCACTTCCGTTGATCTAAAGTTGACTTTCGTATTGTAGTATATACTAACACAAACAAAAACCTCAAATTTATAATAAAATTGCAACATATTTTGGAAAGTAGATTGTGTTGGTAATTCATGGAAATTGAACTTGCATTTAATGCTAGAAATAGATCTGCAACTTGTGAATTTTGTCAAAATTGAAGAAGAGACTCCTTGAAAACAATTTAGATTTGAATGAAGATTTGAAGAAGAATAACTGCGACGGTTTTTAACAATATCAAATTTGGAATTAATACCGCAATTGACATGGTTTGTTAATTGTAAATCCTTCTTATAATGCTTTTTCTAAAACCGTTACTTTCTAGTGTATCCGTGTAAATTGCCCATTTTGAAAAGTCAAAAGTTATTTTTGAGATTAAAAAACTATTTGTGAACATGTTTTGATAATTATTTAGGAGTGCTTTGTTTGGTTATTAAAAGATATTTTAGGGGAAGTTGCCATAAGCTACTTTCATCATATAATTCTTCTATAAAAAAGTAAAAGCAATAGCAGAAATCCTAGCAAGCAAACCCACAGTTATATAAAAATATAAAAATTAAGATTTTAATGCGAAATATGTTGTTCAAGATATTTTGTCATGACCTCGATAAATGAAATAAAAAGACAAAGACTCTTGAAAATTTCTTCCTTTATAACTTGAAAAATCGAATTTGCTCTATTATGAATAATTTTGAAACATTTTGCAAAATACTCTTTTATTATCTAATAACAACATTTTTCCCCTACAAAGTAATTATTTTTTCCCTTAATCTAAAGATTTAATGCAATTATATACCCTCAGGAGTGAATTAAAAAGTTGTTAAAGTTTAAAAATGTATACACATATTTTTCAGCTCTATATGATTCTTATTTATACAAACATAAATTTCACGGTATATATTGAAATTTTTTTCACTTTACTTTATTCACGCCTTTTGTACAATAAAAACAATTCTTTGTTGACATCATTTTCTTATAATGAGCAATTACATTGATTCATTCATTAACATTATTCTATAACAATATAAGATAGATGTACCAAAAAAAATTCTTTGTCAATTTAATTAAAGTGCTTATCCATAGTACATGGATAGATGCAATGATAATGGAGGTATTGCTCAAGAAATTAGGATCTATTTGGTAGAGATTTTGAAAAGTTAAAACTACTTTTCAAATTAAGAAGTATTGAATATATGTGAATAATTTTTTGAAAGTGTTTCA